CCAGTAAAATTGAGATGCCAGGGGAGGTGAAGGCAGATCCTGCAGCTCTGATGGCATCTCTGCATCTGCTGCCTTCTCCCACTCTCAACCTTGAAATCAAATACACCAAGGTAAGTTGTGTTCGTTTGTTCTGCCAGGGAAATTCATGGCTTTCCCTCTAAAGGAGGGATTTTGCTTAAAATCAGTTTCATTTTGCCCTACCCAACTTGAGTGCAGAGTTAAAAAAAAAAACAAAAACAACTATTAAAAGACTGCCTTGAATCTGTAATAAAGGAAACAGATTTTTAGCCCTGTAATCATCTGAAAAACCACAGGATAACAGAAAAGCAGATTAGGTCTGCTGGGACTGGCTTTGCCACTTCTCTTTAAATGTAGTATTTTCTACAGAGCTGTTGGGGTTTATTTTCAGTGCAAAAGCAATAGTTCTCAAATACATTTCAGTTGCTTTTGATGTGCTTCAGGGGAAGTTACTATACATACCTGTATCCTGTATATCTCAATCAGAAAATAAAAATGTTTTCTTCTTGAATTACCCTGTGTGCCCAAGGGACTCTTAAAATTCCTGGAGGACTGTTAATACCACCAGGTTGTTACAGCGCTGGAACAGGTCTCTCTACTAACTTCCGTGATACTTGAATACACCCATGAACAATATTGCAAGAGGGCATATTTTTTCCTACTAACCTTTAAGACTGATTTTCATAAAGAGAGGGTTAAGAACAAACCCATTGGGTCAATGTAGAAAAATCTGCTGGCTTTCTGTGGTGTATTATGGGACTAAATTGGTTTTGTCGATTAAACTGGGCTTTAAGAACAGTCATTTGTTTGTAAATGCGATCTGCATTTTTAAATTCGTTTATATATTTTGAATCTTTGCATCTTTAGTATCTTCAGTTAAAGAATGTTTTCATTGCTGTTGGAGAAGTTTCAAATGTATCGTATAAACAGATTACAATGTGTCAGACTTTGTTTCTAATTACCGAGTAACTTAATAGGAAAATAAGCACATCAGCACTGGAAAAAGGTGATAACATTTTTATCTACTGGAAATACAACTTCAGGAGCTTTAAAGCTGATAGGAAACTCATTTTGGCCGAGGCTGTGTAATTTTTTCCTTCATATCATCACTTTAAAAGCTTTTCATCTTTTCTCTTTTTTAAGCGGGTGCCAAAACTAATTTGTCCTCTAATTTGTAACAGCAATTCCATGTTTTAGAAGAATGTTTCAGAGGAAAGTAAACTATTTTAGATTTCATTACATTTCAATGCAAACTGCAATATGCAAATTAAAGGATGCATATGGTTTCTTGCATATAATTTCTTTGAAAATAGTTTACATAAATAAGGAATGTAGTTACTTCATGTTGTGTGGTGTTACATTTCGGGAACAATCATACTGTGCAAATAGTATTTGGCATGAATTTTGTTCATTGCTGGTTTCAGTGTAAAATATGCTTCAGGAGTGTTCGGTTGTTAATACTTGAGAGTAGTATCACAGTCAGTTTGCATAACAACTGTGCTTGGCGTTTCTCTGTTCTAAAACTAGAGAAATAGTTCTAAAAATCTTTGAAAAAGATAACAGACATCAGCAATTGTATCTTCCTATCTGTGATAACGTAAGCTGGATAGCAACCTTTAATAATTCAGAATATATAGTGCCATCATCTCAGAAATATGTAAGATGTTACACATTTTATACTAATGCAAAAAGTAAAAAAAAAATTATTTTATTTCAATATTAAGCCCAAACCAATGGCAACATGTTTCTTCTAAGCTTGGTTTTGAGATATCGGGTAACTCCTGGTATCGAATATTTCACTTGGCATATCCTCTGTCTCTGTTTTTCTGTCTGTCTCGCTCTTCCCTCCTTTTTCTCTTTCTCTGCAGGAAATACAAGTGATTTATAGATAATTGGAGTCTTCAGCTTGGAGTCTTGTCTTGGGCAGGACTTTTATCCAGGATCCACTTTCCCACCTATTACAAAGAAAAACAATCAAAAATGAAATAATGGATTGTAACTTGATTCTTTCTTTTGGGGGGAGCGGTGACTTCATGTCTTAGATGACAAACAACTTCCATAAAAAATAAATAACATTAGACTACAGCACTTTGGCAAAAAAACCCCAAAACAAAACAAACCAAAAAAACCCCACAACCCCAAACCTTGTAAAATCAGACATCTGTAAGCATTCCTAGCAGCCTCTCTCCTGCTTGTTAGCTGAGAATTTTAAATACACAACCAGGACACAGAATTCTTGAACTCTTTATTAAAGCTGTCTCCGAATGTAAAATCTTAACCGTTTGGGAGTTAATTCTTTATGAAAAGTAGAGGTACCTGTGAACATTTGAACTAAATGAAGTAATTTTAAAATATGTTTTGCCAATGAAATTTTATTTCTGGAATTCTAAAATTGGGAAACTGACAGTTTTGTTAGGATAGAACATGGTAAAATTCCACAAATCCCTAAATGGGATTTGTTAAAGATTTGTAATATGTACAGGGAAAAAAGTAAATGTATTCTTCATTGATCTTTAAAACACTACATTATCCTTGGAATTACTATGAAAGCGCCTTCCAAGAACGTAGATAAAACAAATACTACCCATGTAATTTTCATATATTTGATTATTTAGCAGAGTTATTGAAACTTGGGAAATATTTCTCTGGTAGGTTTACTGAAGTGAGCAGAAAGCTGTGTGTTAAGTCCTTCCCATCTGTGCACCTGATGTAGCACACAGAGGCAATGTCATTGGTCAAAAAAAATACTTTTAGTGATGAAGATTGCACGATGCCATGTTTTTATGTAAGATGCGCAGCAGTATCTGTTGTGACTTCCATATTGGGAGTCAGCCTATGCTTCTTTAAAAAAACAGCCATTAGAAATATTTTTCCCAGCTTTTTAATGCCTTGGCATGGTCTCTGTGAAAAATAAAGTGTTATAGATGTACATAATAAGAATTGGTGAACAGGATGTGAACCAGACATGAAGATGAGTGTTCAAGCACACAGGGTTAATTTTTTCTGTGTGTCTGGCAAGTACTAAAACTGCTACATGCAAGATTCTCTCTCTTTTCAGTGTGATGACTCTTTAATTCTCTACTTCTTAACATTAACATTTGGGGAGGGATTGCATGTGCGGAACAGGGGATCTTCCAGTATTGGTATTAGGTTATCCTACAGCCCTGTGGCACAGCAAGCCCTCCTCAGACTTGTCAGGAGCGTGCTGGCAGTGCTATGCTCCGTACGTAAGGGAGCATGTAGGTAGGAAGGGGATCCAGCCCTCTCCCTGGCAATGAGTCATACTTCTACAAAGGTCAGCTTTATGCCAGAAACTCTCCCAAAATGGGCTGCTCCAGAAATATCAGATGTGTGAGATAAGCTCTAGTATGACAGCAAGTAAGGACGTGTTATTGGCATGTTTTGTACAGGAAGCACACCCCTGCATTGATGGCCCTTAGAACCTGATCGCTTCTGAGGGTGATCAGAGGCTTCTCAGTATTGTATTGATGCCTCCCTCTTTCATGCTCTTACGAAACTCCCTGCTCCCTCCTGAGACTTGAGCGTCTCCCAAGTATCTGACAGTAGATGTGGAATCAACCCAATGGATTGAGCCCTTTGCAGCGCTTTCCTCCTGCTATCTCCATTTGAGGGGCTAAAGGTGTTTCTGCAGGATGTGGCTAGCCTTCCTTTGTTATGGGATAATCAAATCTGCTTTACAAAGTATTTTCATAGTGGTTTTAGTAAGTCATGCTGACTTTAAAAGATGGCTCTAGGGTTCTGTTCTGTCCTGTCCTAGCTCTGCCGCTACATCATGTAACTGAGTGAACAGACATTCTCAGTTTGCATCATGTTGGGGGTACTAATCCAGGTGGATGTTTTAAGTTTTGTTTCTTGCTTGCCAACTGATTTAAGTCTGAAAAAGAGCTGAAGAACTTTAGCATAAGGAAAAGTTGAAGAATTGTGGTTTTGAGAGCTTTTTTTACAAAGAGGTACTCTAAAGGGGTGAAGTTACAGCACTGTGGCAGTGAAGAGGTACAGAAATGTTTCTGTAGTAATAGCCTGTGAATTGGCTGACAACCATATTTTTTGTCCTGTGTAAAAGGGTTTGTCTCTACTCTTATACCATAGGCTAAAATCAGGTCAGTTTCTAAACACGGAGCAGGTAAACTGCCCAGCACTGCAACAGAAAACTGTATACAGCAGTTTGTATTAAGTGCAGGCAAACTGCTTCTGGGTCTACAAGAACTAACAAATACATTTCAGATTCTCATATGATAAGCGTTTGGGTTTGAAGTGTTTTGTTACTAAGTTTCTGTGTTTTCGTTCCCATTGTGCTTTCTTGGCATTGCCCAGAAGTGAACGCTGCAGAATGCCATTATAAATTCTTTTCATCAAAATTTCCAGCACGTGTTTTCCAGATGAAATTCTAGACTGACATTAAGATAGGAGGCAGGAAATCTATTTTATTTAGAATAATATGCAGAATCTTTGTCATTTTTTGACCTGAAGACAAGCTTTGGCAAAACTCAGGGAAGTGACAAACACCTGCTATTTCCCACCTCTTTTTTGCTGAGTGAGCTAACTAATGCCTTTTGAAGTCAGATTCAATGACTGATACTGGAAGAAATCAGCTAGCCTTTTGGGTCAGCTCAGTGAGCGCTGTCCAGTTACAAAAGATGGGACACAGAAAATTAGAGATGTTTGTATGTGTGTGAAGAGTAGACAAGTAGAACAGCTACTTTTTCCCTTTGTGGAACACTTGAACATCTGATGCTGACACTAGATACGTCCCTCTGTATCATCATATATGAAACTTTGGGGTATATACCGTATTTAGATTTACTCTTGTTTAACTCTACAGTTTGAATTCTCTTCTAGTCTGTTCATACGTTGTGGTTAGTACTACAATCCATACAGCAATTGCAAACTATTTATGCAGTTCTTTCCAATTAACAGCCTGAATATAAGAGTCTGTCTTTCCTCCCAAACCTTTAAGGTCTTCTGCACAAACCCAATTTACCCAGGTTTTGCATGAGGGATCAAGAAACAGTGGTAGTCTTATGCATATCCAGTCCCCTGCCTTTGCTCACTCCAATACAGCTGCTATAAC